GAACCCAAGCCCCCCCGGGAAAAACAAAAGTGTCGCGGGGGCAGGGGCCAAGGGGGGAGTGCTAGTGGCGAAAAATTAATAGCCAAACAATGGCAAGGAGTTGGAGCGCGGCGACTCCCGCGGAGGCGCTGGGTGGACTTTGCACTGAGATCGCAGGGGCGCGCTCCGGGCCTCCGAGCGACCTTCTCGCCTGAAGTCGGTGGGAGCCGGCGACGGGCTCTGCAGAAGCATCTAGAGCTGCCCAGGCCAGTGCGGTGCCAACGGAGGAGCTGGGCGCGCTGGGTGCATACACCGGAGTATATATGCGGGTCCTCTTGACATATGCTAATCAAGTCCTTTCGTGCGCTCCGGGGAGGTTCTGTTTGAAATCTTAAACCGGCCTCTTCTCAACACGTTTTTGGCTCTTCGGAAGTGACCGAAAGAGGCCCTCGACAGTTCCCTATCCATGCCATCGCAAGCTCTTTCCCACACGGGGGCAAAGCGAGCCGGCAACTTCGGGGAGGCGTAGTCAGACTCCTCTTTGAGGTTGTCTTTAAGGCAAAGATGATGATGCTCTTCCGTCTGCTGCTGTTCAATCGCCTTTGATGTGAGCTCCTTTGCTGTGATAAACCGCCCGCTCTAAAAAGAGCCCGCTTGGCAAGTATATAGAAAAGGGGGCGGGGGGAGGAAAAAGGAGGGGACAGATATGAGGAAAAGGAGAAAAGAGGAGGCGAATTGAACTTGAGAGCCGCTGGGAGCCTGCAGTGGACAGGTGCAAAGAAAGGCAAGAGAGGCAGAAGGAAAAAGGGCGTTACCTGAGGCTTAGACCTGCCCAGACACACATGAAAGGAAAATCAAAGCTTTGACAGTTTAACTCACTAATTTTAAAACACTAATAAAATGTACAAGCATTGCTCTTTTCTTTTATCATTTAGATGGGGGATTTTCTTTACATAATCAAGTTGGGTTAGGAACACCAACACCCTCCCCCCGCCCCCTTTCCTAGTTTCTCTTTAATGTTTATCTTTACTCAGCTAGCACATGATAGAATCAGGGTAGCTTTATATCTATATGTAAGTTTCGAATTGTACGCTAAGGTCATGGACTTTTAATTAGCATAACATAATTACATAAAACAAATATGAATTTAGGGATTAAGGGTGAATTTAAATAGACGGAAGAGAGGTGGTTTGTCTTCTTACATTTTGCTAAGAATAGAAAATATCTAGAAACCTGTCATAAAGGTTGAGTAGATTCCAGGGCCTTTATCTGATTAAGTACCTTTTCTTTAAGGCTAGATTTCTGTTGTTTGTGTTCACACTTCCACTAAAAAGTCTACAAACTGAATGGAAAAACTGGTGTTAATTTGTCCTATGGTTTGCAAATTGAAAAAAAACTAGTAGAAATCCAAGTGTGTCTGTACAGTTGTGAAAAATTTTTAAAAAGACACTGAAGGAAAAAATTAGATACATGACTATTTACAACTTAAACCTTTGGTTTTCTACCAATAGTTAAATGCAAGGTCTTCCCGTTAAAATTGTTTAGTGACAGAGAGTTTAGAATCACTTGGTAGATTTATGCTTCCCTTGAGCAATAAGTTTTAGGGAATCACTAAAGATGAGTTTTTCAGTTTTTGTTTCATGGTATATTCAGTAAGAGCCAAAACCTGGGAACGCGGATGGATTTCCCTGGTTTGTTTTATTTGCTTTGGAGGGCTTTTTTTTTTTTTTTGCAAATTAATTGGCAGGTGCTTTAAAGTAGGTAAAGTTACACCTTTTCATCACGGAAGCCCTAAGTATTGACCCTTGTGCAACCAAGTTATAAAAGAGCCCTTAAAGCAAGTGATTTACTGTTGATAGATATGAAATAAAACAAAAGCACTGCCTAAAAACAATAAACAGATAAATCACTTTAGAAACATATATAGCAAAGCCTGTTTTAAAGGTTATACCAGGTAAGTGTCATATGATTTTTACCTGTCAACTACCAGGAGTCTGTCTTGTGCTAGGACCCCCAAATCCACCATAATCAAGATTTCAAAGGACATCTGTGTAAACATTATCACATCAGTGTAAAACATCAACCAATGAGCTTTTACTTTGAACAAAATCTCCTTAATTGCAGTGTTAAATCAAAGAAAGTTAGATCAAAGTTGTGTGATTCTCATAGTGGGGATAACTAAAGTAGCCTGAACATACATTGATCACTTGAAGAAGAGATACTTAAAGGTTTAAAACTCAGATCAAGTACCTTTTAATGAGGCTTGTTTCAAGGTCTAAGTTCTGTTAATTATTCCACAATGGATATATATATCACTGTCACCTGGTCCTAGAAGTACCAGTTTAGTCTATAAAATGGTCCCTCCCATAAGCACTCGTAGCCCTGCTATATAATTAGTAGATGGTTTAAATCTCTTGTACTACTTATACACATATTGAAATATGGAGAATTTTCCTAACATCGTCACCAAAGCCCAAATACTTAATGATAGAACCGCCATCTCTTTGCATAGCATTCTCACTTTCCTGTGCATTGCTTTGTATGATCATCACAATAATGCTACCAGGGCACGTCCTACTCTGCAGAGGAGAACATTGTCCTGGATTCTAGTTCAAAGTTCAATTCAAAATCATACATCCCAGAGCAATTTCCTCAAACTGCTTCTTCTTTTGTAAAACAAAAATACAATTCCTGCCTTGTCCTCTATGTCTAAGGTTGCTAGAAGACTTAAACATCTGAATATCTAGAAAAATAGTCTTAAAACTCTAAAGTTCTCTAGACGTGCACGGTGCCGAACACCTTCATTTGCTGGGAGAATAACTTTTGGCTTATAATTCAGCAATTTAAATGTATATACTTAATACAAAATCAAGTTTTTATCCTTTTATTTTTTTTCTTACAAACAGAACTTTTAACGTGTACATTTTGAACGGCGCTTATTGCCATTTTATAAAGGGCCAGAATAGAAACAAAAAGATAAGGATTTCTTTTGTTTGCACTAGTCATGTGACAGGAAAAGATAACACTAAAGATTTTTTTTTGCACATGCTGTGATGATATCATGGGAAGTTAAATCATTTTGAAGTGTGTTTTACAAGAGTGCATTATTCAACTTTTAAGCATACATTGCAATCTAATCAACGTTACCTATACTTCCTAGAGACCACACTTGCCATGCTGTTATACAAATATATGGTACAATCTCTACTTCCACTGAAAGTAGTTAGTTTTCCAAACCATACAATTCCTACGTTACTTTCCAGTCAGCGCACTGTCGTGAACCTTCCACATGAGAAAAGAGTTAATACATTGATGCTTCTTCATATGCTTAACTTGCAGAAAATAACTGGCTTAAATGTCATGATGTATATCACCAGCAAAACAAAAAAATATTTATACAATGTTATTGATTGCATCATTATTTTTAATAATTCAAAAATATTGGCAGTAACCTGACTATTCCTATATAGGACACAGTCTGACCAAATTATGGTGCATTCACAGAATGAGTAAAACACAATTGAAAAATAATAATGAGAAAGAGCCCTATGAACTAGTATGGAATATTTCCTATTTATATTGCTAACAGCAAAAAGGCAATGTGCAAAAGAGTATGAAGAAGTTTCAGCAAGTTTATGAAAATTCCATCATCTTCTCATTCCATTTTTCCTGAACTTTGAAGGCCCCCTTCTGCATGGTATTTTTTCATTTTGTAAGAAGAAAAAAATGTTTTAATATATATGTGGATGCCTACTTGATATGCATGCTCACACACAAAGGATAAGCCAAAAACTAACGAAATTGGTTACCTTCAAGGGATGCATGGGAATGAAGTGGAAAGTATAAAGACATTTCTCTGAGCAGAAAATTTTATTTTGGAGAGTCTTGGCTTTGGGAATAGTGTTAATCTTTTACATTTAAAAAAAGCAAAATTATATCAGCAAGGATGGGGGAGAAAACAGAACTAAATTAGGAGCAAGTAAACATAACTTTATTACAGTAAATAAGAAAACCACACAGAGAGGAATTTTGAAAAGTCAAAAAAGTAACCTAAGCAACTTCTCCATTTAGGTCTTTGACTTTATAGTCAAGGTCAAAAGAAATAAAAAAACGATACTGTTTTTCTTAGTGGTAGGTATTAACTAGTTAGCACTGAGTCCATTTTAATTCACAGTAATCCCATAGGGTCAGAGTGGAACTATAGGCTCCACAGAGTTTTGAATGGCTGATTTTGCCACACCTTTCTTCCCAGGCAGCTCTGGGTAGAATCAAACCTCCAGACTCGCATGTTAATTGTTTGCTCTACCCAAAGGTTAGACAGTGTATTTAAGAGTTGAACAAATGCGAAAAGAAGCCGTGGATAATGATAGCCAGGTGTTTCACTCTTAAATAAAGGTGTTACAAATATGCAATATGGAAAGAGGAAAAATTTACATGCGCCCTGTGGTGATGGATTGTCACTGAAAGTGCAATTGTCAGTGTGTGTGTGTGTGTGTGTGTGTGTGTGTGTGTGTGTGTGTGTGTGATTGCTCAGTCCACTAAAGGGGGTGAGAGTAAAAAAAACAAAAAAACACAGGGGTAATGAGAACACCTAGTGCCAGATTTCATTTCCAAATTCAACACCTCACTAACATTCTATTGTTAACATTTAACATTCTCCAGTGATCCTTAGAGAAATGGTTGGTTGTAGGGAAACTTTTTATACTAAAAGGCAAGGAAAAACTCAAAAGATGATGAAAACATGCCA